ACAACTTGCCTGCAGATATCGGCCTTCTTCTTCGTCGTCTTATGCTTCGCCGTCTTTATCTTCTGCTTCTTAGTCTCTGCGGGTGTCGCCGTCAAAGGCGGACTTTATATCATCGACGGGCTATTCGTTTGGTTAAGATAAGCGTCGCTGACGGTCCCTTTTTTCTTTTTCAACGTCCCAGATACTCCAACTTCACGGCCTCTTCCGTTGTACCTTATGAACCAGAAACAAAAGCCGGGAGACTGTCTATTTAAGCCCGTCAACGGATAGCCGAGAGCCGCATGAAGCGCGTCAGGGGAAGCAGGAGGCGAGCGAGCCAGCGACGGCCGGCATATCAGCTCAACCATCCCCCCCCTCCCCCCCCCCTTTCAGCGCGGGATAGCAAAAAGGGACCCGACTCCAGCTCGAGCGGGATGATGCGGTTAATGATCCCTTCCAATTACACGGCAGCAGATAATATCCACAGACAGCAGGCTCCATAAATTATTACATGGCCGCCGTTTGGAGGGTGGCACGGCGGAGCAGGCTGTAAGCACCGGCCGGCACCATCGTGAGCTTTCGAGACGGGCGGACAGCCAGCCATGGCAGGACTAGGACGACCAGAATCACAAGCATGCAAGGCATTCTGTTCTCGTTCCATGCATGACACACGTCGTACAGTCGGCTGGGGGGAGCTGGCCTCGAAAGCCGCCGCCCGCTGGCTGGTTGCGCGGTTGATATTGGGACTTATTACGACCATCGGCGATACTCCGTGTGTTATATCGAAGGGATAACTAGCTGATGGCCAGCCTCACACGACGCCCTGGGCCTTACTTCGCTAGTCATAGCATTGCAGCGATCTGTGAGCGGCGGTCTGGATAACCGGTATCTATCACAAGACCCCAAGGGCTGAACCCCATGCCAGAACGCGTACTCCGTATACATGTACACACACACACGCACACACACACACACAGACAGAGCTAGTTAGTTACTATCTGCTTCCCGTATACGACAGCCTCCAGGCATAGCGAGCGAGCGAAGGACCTGGCCGACTCGGGTCCTGGTTTCGCCTCTCGTTGCTTTTTTGCATATTGACGCCGATTGTTGCACAGCATCTCACGCCCGGAGGACAAGGAGCGTCGTTACGTACAAACGTACAAGCATACATGCACGCCATCATAATAGACAGAGAGACCGCCGGGCAAACTCAGGCTGGAGGCGACGACGACGACGACGATGACGGCGAAATGAACGCCTCAGCGGGCTTCCATCTGGCCGTCCAGGATGCTCCAGATATAGCTGGATACTACTCTCGGATATTCCAGAACTCTGTCGGCAACGGACCATACGGTATCAAGCCCATTTTGGATAGCTTGATGCAGACAGAACGGAACCAGCTCGATGACTGCCCCGGCTAGCAGGCCCGATATGCAAGCGGTCATGCAGCGGGATAGAATGGGATGTAGTCAGTTTGCTGAAGCGCAGCTCTGTTTGCTGGTTAGCGGGCTAGCTAGCTAGTTAACTAGTTAGTTAGGGGGCGACTCCCGGCAGTTCGGCGATTGATATAAAGTCGGTATATTTATATCTCGCTCGTTCGACTCCAACGGCCGACCAGGGAACATCCCTGTCCTTAATAATCTCTCACAAAGAAGCTGACGCCTGGGAAGTTGGCCATTTATATTACCGTCACGCATCCCTCCACCGCCCCCAGGCAGGCCAATTACTCTGGTATTCTTGCATACATACATCCTGCCTGTCTGGCAGCGCCCCCAGAAGGCAGAGAGCCAGCATGGCGTGCAGGGCCCTGGTGCTCCACGGTGCTCAGGATCTTCGGCTGGTCCGTAACCAATTCATCTAAACACCCCGTACGCTAGGCAGTTATCGTTTTCTCTTCTGACATGCCTCACTGATCAAAGGAAACTCGTCCAATAGCTCCTCCAGCAGCAGACGAAGTCCAGATCGCCGTCCGAGCCACCGGCCTCTGCGGCTCAGACCTGCACTACTATCACCACGGCAGGAATGGGAGCTTCGTCCTTCGCCAGCCCCTGGTTCTCGGACATGAGTCTGTCGGCGAAGTAGTGGCCGTTGGATCATCAGCGGACAGTTTCAGGATAGGGGACCGTGTCGCCCTCGAGGTAGGCCTACCGTGTCGAAAGTGTCTCCATTGCCGCCTGGGCCGATACAACATCTGTCGCTCCCTGAGATTCCGCAGCTCAGCGGCCGTATTCCCCCATCTGGACGGGACGCTAATGGACGTCACCAACCACCCGGCCGCTATGTGCCATCGTTTACCTTCCTCCATCTCGGATGTGCAGGGAGCTCTGCTCGAACCCCTTGCTGTCTGTCTGCATGCGATTAATCGCTCCAACCCACCAACAGCAGCAGACGTAGCACTTGCTAAGTCCGTCGCGGCTGCGAATGGTGGCGCCGCCCCAGACAGCGAAACTGCAGTGCTGATATTCGGAGCCGGTGCCATTGGCTTGCTTCTTGCATCAGCTCTGGCTATCACGCAGCATTTTACGACTATCGTTCTGGCAGATATCAATCAGGCAAGACTGGACATTGCTTCCTCGCTCCCGTTTGGCTGCATCAAGACATGCGTTCTTGATCCCCCCGGTTCCACTGCTACGTCTGCACAGGAAGAAGACCAGGCTGCAAAGGACCTGGCAGCTACTCTACTACGGAGGTTTGGCTTTGGCCACGGCTTCTCCCGCGTGTTCGAGTGTACGGGTGCACCGGCTTGTGTACGAGCCGGCATCTATGCTTCCTCGGCTGGTGGCGTGGTGGTACAAATTGGAATGGGTGGCCCCAGCCTTCCATCCATTCCAATGTCTGCCTCGGCTCTGAGAGAGGTTGATCTGATAGGTGTCTTCCGGTATAATGGACGTTGCTACCCGGCTGCCATTCAGCTGGCTTCCTCCCCAGTTTTTGGCCAGGTAGCGGACAAAGTCGCTACGCATACGGTCGAGCTGGGTGAGGATGACGGACAGAAGGCATTTAGACTTGCTGCCTCTGACAGAGATGATGATGGTAAGACAGTGGTGAAGGTTGTTGTTATCGGCGGGGGAGGGAGTAGCTTCTTGAGTTAAAATGATACACAACAACCAAGGCAACAAACAACTAGCTCCCCCGGTATATCTAGCATTTATAACAAGAATCTAAAATCACAATAGAAATACAGAGCTAGCGACTATTATACTAGTCGAAAAAAAAAAAAAAAATGGCGGAGATAGCGCAGGAACGGTCAAAGGCAACAAACAGCGGCGGAAACAAACAAATAAACAGATACAAAAACAGAGGGAGACAGGAAGACATGGAGGCCTACTTCAGTCCTCCAGCCAGGAGGATGCTCTGCCCAGTCAAATACCCGGTCGTCACGCACATTTCGACAACACTGGCAACCTCATCTGGCGTACCTAGTCGGCCTAGTGGAATATTGCCAGCGAACTCTGGGATTGCTCGAGCATCAGGGATCATTCCGGTCTCTCCAATCATGGCCGGAGCGACGTCATTCACGCTTATATTGAACTGTGCCAGACGAGTTGCCAGGTTCTTCATCATGCCCGTCATGCCCCCCTTAGAAGCAGCGTAGTCTATCGTGCATAAAACACTATTAGCAATAGTTGATGCAAAAAACGATAGAGAAGATCCACATACGGCACCCATTAACGCCTCCTCCATGGGCTGAAATGGAAGACATGAACACGATCCGACCCCATTTCTGCGCCTTCATATTCTCAACCACGCCCTTGACAAGGATGAATGATGCTCGTAGGTTCACGTTGATAGTATGGTCAAACTCCTCTAACGAGATATCCCATATCTGAGGTATCTTTACCCCGTATCCCGCGTTGGACACAAGGATATCGGGCAAACGGCCACCATGTTCCGCCGGGATCTCGACGAATAGCCGGTTGATCTGCTCGGCTTGTCCGACATCAACTTGGTGGACAGATATGTGGAGATTGGATGACGACGGTAGTTCTTTGATGTCCCTGACAACAGCATTCATGCCGTCCGAATTTTTCGCATAGGTTAATGCAAGATGGACACTCCGGCTGGCGAGCCTGCGGGCACAAGCTGCGCCGATTCTGAGCGGATAGCATTAATACCTTGCCAGTAGCATGATTAATGTGGATGAAAAATGCCGACTTACCCACTTGAGGCGCCGGTGACCAAAGCAAGTCGTCCTTCAATATCATTCAATGCAGCCATGTTGGTTATGTTCTTTCGTCACTGCCTGTAGGAATGCATATCCAGCAACAAACAAAACGGGTTGGCTCCATAGATTGATACTGGTTTATATTTTCGGCGCGCGGGATGACAGGGGGCATCGGTTAAATCTCCGGCTAAAACTCCCGGTATCTCCCAGGCTGTCGCTCTCACCCCACATGAGGAGAAGCAGCAGGGGATCAGAGGCGAACGGGAGAACATGAAAAGTAATAATAATAATAGTAATAAGAGGGGGACTAAACGAACTCCGTCTCTTTTTCAATGCATGGGTGAATGACGGTCGATCGTGCCAGAAGGGAAAAAATATTCAAAGCGTATACAAAACAATCGGATAAATACCATTCACGGAGGAAGGAGGTTGTACGGAGGGAGAGGGGGAGTTTGGTTTTTCGGCAATGGATCGGATTCGAGGGAGGATTGGTGAGTAGAGTTGGTGTTGTTGGTGTTGTTGGTGTTGTTTGTCAGAAGGAAAGGTAACTAGAAAAGGAGCACATCACTCATTTCTGAACCACCAGGTGGCCAAGCCTGCTGTCCATGATCATGATTCTCAGCTTGATACCCCGTGTCTAGGGTATGAAAGGAGTCTAACCCCAGTAGCGGAGCAGCTGGCACCAAATCGCCTGATACAAAATCGCCAACAGCTCCCAGATCGAGCCATGAAAAGTCATTCGCTGGACTAAACTGCATGTAAGTCGGTTCCGGGAGACAGGTCACCGGGACTTCATGTTGCATTCCGTTGGACGGCTGGGATTCATGCATGACATTCATGCCGGTGCTATTGTTGTTGTTGTTGCTGTTGTTGCTGCTGCTATTGCTGTTTACGGCGTTCGGGCTGGCGGCGGTGTTGGTGTTGGCGAAGATGGAATTGCTGTTATTATTATTATTATTATTGCTGCTGCTGCTGCCGTTATTGTTGGTGTTGTTGCTGCGGCTGTGGTTGTTGCTCGCACTGCTGCCGGTGTTGTTGTTACTGCTGCTAATGCCGTTAGTGATCGCAGAAATGGAAGGGTTGGAGACCGAGTTCTTTGATTTCCAGAGCAGCTCCAGGAGACGGGCATAGCGGTAGCCAACGTCGTCGTTACTGGCACTAGCTCTGCGTAGCCGATCTATTGTCTCGTCGATCATCTTCTGGACGGTTGCCTCTTCTGTCTGGTTGAGGACACCGAATGAGCGTGCCTGGCGAAGGGTGTTGTTAGCCTGATAGTGGTAGATGGAGCAAGCAGCCTTGATAGGAAAGATATCCAACCTTGTATAAAAAGACGGCCGCGTAGATGCCGTACCTGCATGGGCGAGGATTATCAATTTGGTTTCTTATTAACTGCTAGGCTCAAGTTATCCGAAGATGAACTTACAGGTAGAATCTCAGGGGCATGAAATGTAGATGTCTCTCTGGATCAACGTAATTGGTTAATATGGTCAAATAGGACTTGGCCGCCTCCACTGATTCATAGATAAACCGTGAATCCTGCATAGACGCAACGTTACTGAATGCAGCCCGTAAATGGTCACGTTGACTGACGGAGTCATCGCCCTTTGGCTTGTGCAGAGCCTGGGAGATGGCAGCCTGGAAAGCAAAGGCGTTGATGTAGAGTTTCAGGTACTCGTAGGACATCTGGAGCATCACATTGAGATTTGAGGCACCTAAGTACGGTTTAGCATCTCGTATACATCATTCATAAGACGATATTGAATGCAAGGAAAAAGACTTACATGGCATCTTGCCCCATAGACGATACCATCTTGATACAGCAACTCGGAAATCGTCAATGTACTTTACGTAGTCTCCCATGAGCATCATATTCCTGCTTGTCCGCATGCCCGAGTACAGCACATCGTGGACGTTGCCGTACAACTGCGTGAGATCGAGAATGGCTTGGAATATTTTTGAATAGTCCTCGTCATGGGGCGATTGAGGCTGCAGAGACGGGAAATCATGGCTGACCAGACCAGTCATTGGCCCGGGGCCTCGAGACCAGAATGCTCGTCCGATACGTACCGATATCAGCCTGTCAGATACATAACAGCTCGCCCAGGCCAGTCGTTTGCGGTTGTCGGCCTGAGTGTCTCCCGTGGCAGCGTCGTTGCGGAAGGAGGTCTTGTCCAAGCCCAGGAAGTAGCCCGATCTCAGAGCAATTCCGACATGCATCCAGGCTGCACGATCCTCCTCTCCACGTCCGACGGGCTCGATGGAAGGACGGAGGCCCTGCGGTTCCCACTCGGCCAGTATCAGGAGGGCCTCGACCGCCTCCACGTCGCAGTCAGCACCAGCAGCGATGCCCGATATTAGCTCGAGCATGTACTTTGAACAGCCCTGGTGAACATGGGGCATGCTGGTGAGATCCTTAGAAGCCACAGTGAGCACCGCGGTAAGGAGGTGCTTCTCCTCTGCAAACTGGTCGAGGCAGGCCGAGTTGAAGTACTTGCGCGGCACCAGGGGGAAATAGCAGTGGTAGTTGTCTGCATAGCGGGTGATGAGTTGCATGACCAGGCCATGGGTCAACACCTCGTTCTCGACCAGGCGGTAGGCGAATATCCCCTTTCTCGCGCCGGCTCCGTTGGTATTCGCCCTCCCACCGCTGCCACCTTCAGGCCGGGGAGCGTCGGTGCCCCTTTTGGCTACGTTGGTGAGCCGCTGCCAGGCGTCAGAGGGATTCCGCAACGCACCCGACCCGATTGCGCTCTCGCCTGTCGAGTCCTCGTCATCGTCGTCGTCCATTGAGGTGTCTCGGTGCCCTTCCGACGGACCGTAGCGGTCGTGCTCGTTGTAGGGGCTAATGTATCTGCTCTGGTTGTAGTTCTCCGTGCTCTGAGGGCTGATGGACGTCTCGGGCGGCCGCGCAGGCGGCGGCACCGCAGACGAAGCCCCCAATGCGCCCGCTGAGGCCTTGATGGTGTTCCTGATGCGCTTCCCGCCGCGGTTCGACGTGCCCAGCTCGCACTTGAGGTTCTCGTTGTGGCACCGTTTGCAGGGCGGCTGGCCCGGCCGGCCGTTGCTGTCCCTATGGCAGCCGTCAGAGACTTTATCCAGACATCTCGAATAGCAGGCAGAGAGGACTTACAGGTCGCACTTCGACTTGCGGCGGCGGCAGTTGTAGCAGGCTCGCGATACGCGCTTCATCTGGCCGCTGGCCGTCCGCTTAGGCTTCGGGCTGCCTGTGGTGGTGGTGGTGTTGGTGGTGTTGGCAGTGGTGGTGGTGCTGTTTTTGTACTCGGGCTCGTCCATCTCGACTCAATTTCAACGTCACTTCGTCTTCGACTCTGCTCTCTCGACCGCACCAAACAGAATATCCACGGCTTCGGCTGCGACTTCGACTGTGCAGCTGCGAGATGGTGCTTCACAACGCTCGTGGATGCTCCCTCAACGCCCTCCTAGCTGTTTTGAGAACCCCCGGACGGCCCAGCGGACGGACGCTCCGTATCAGATCCTCAGAAAAGCGCGGTTCGTCACCAACAAGCCACGCCCATCACTATCTTGCTTCTAACTCTGCTTCTAGGGCCGCTCGAGAATGCAATATCTCCTGCTGTGATCCGACTTGGCATGGCTAGGGCAAGGAGTGGACATGACGGGGCAGGGCGAGGAGGACGCGGCTGGATGGAGCAGAGGAAGAGAGGAAGAAGAGAAAGGGAGGGAGGAGAGGAAGAATAAGGGAAAAGGGACGGGGAACAAGCAGCAGCAGAGGAGACGAAAGCGACGACGGATGGGCGACCAGGCCAGCCTGCAGCAGCAGCATGGATAAGCCGAAATATTGGGCTTGTTCAAACGATGCCCGCTTCCCCACGCCGGCGCATGTCAGGATGTGAGTGTGTCGAAGATGTGGTATCTCACACTCCCTCCCGTACTGCATGTGTATACATACCACTTACGCATGTAACTAGCTCAGCATGGCTTGACCAGTGGACGGCCGGGGGGGAGGGTTGTCTGCGAATGCGACAGGTCAACTTATTCCCCTTCTAATCGTGCGGGCCGTTTGCTGTTGGGGACCGCCTGGCTGGTGACGGGCTGCTCCCCCATGCTGCCTGTTCTGCTGGGACGGAGCATATCTCGACCAGTCTACGGGGACCGTCCTGCCACCAGCGCGAGCTCCAGCTACGTCTATACTTCGACTTTTTACATTTTTACGCCAGATATCTAGACACTCGGACTTCTTCGAACACGGACGGGCTCAACTATAATATCGTGGGAAGTATATAAGGGAAGATGCTTGCTTTTTCACTCTTGGCTGCCGTTTATTTGGCAATAGTCTTTAGTGGGCTTCTGATCGCTCTCCTTTCCCGTTGCTTTTTTGGCCCTCTTTTATCAAGCACGCTTGCGTCTTCTTCTGGGCTTCCTCAGCGCAATCATCAGTCGATTTTGGGAGATGGGACGATACGAATGCCCGATACGAGGATGGCAGCCTGGTGGATGAAGGGTCCCGTTGGACGCGAGATGCGGTTATCCGCCAGTCATTTCTTCAGGATGGCCCCCCCCCTTGGTCTCTTCAGGCTTCTCCGTCTCTCCCTATCCGTACGTACGGAGCATATACGTATAAATATCAGTATGTGTACTCCGTACGGGAGGGATGTTTACGCTGCAGACGCAGTGACTCTGAAGACACTTTATATATCTCGGCAGACCAACCAGGAGTCGAAGACTCCGCAGCCGATTCCACATATACACATCTACAGAAACAGAGCTAACGAGTTAACTAACTGAGGGCAAACAGACTAATCGACTGCTGACAGGTCCAGTCTGAACCGCAATCCCTCAACATGCCAACACGTCCTCCTAGTTCGCATTGCAAACAACCTCGCAGATCGGCGTGCGAGGGGGGTGCATGACTATCATCTGCTACCTATCCTTCACGCTCCCGCTTTTATGGAGATGGGACAATATGATATCTCGACAAATTGAAGACTCATCTCTTTGCGTGTTTACTAAATAAAATATATCAACGAGTCCACCGTCAATAGCGCCGGGACGATCGCCCGACCTTTTAACAATG